AGAAAAATCCTTGACTTAGGATAAGCGCTGCTTATCGACAATTAAAACATCCGTGTGTTATCAAACTGAAACAGGCAGTTTGATATCCAGTTGTTCTCATACTAAATCCAAAACACTCTCTATCAGCTACTATGAAGAAAATTAACTTGATCTCAGCTGAAACTAGGACAAGGTGGCTAAACATCTTCCTGCTCATGGGAAGTAGTGTATTAATTCTTTATTTTGCTTTGCTTGTGAGCGCAGCTTTTGCTTTACCTATTAAATTGTCTTTGTCTCAACCCACAAGTTTTCTCCCTTTTACCCTTCCAATTCTCTCCCTCATCCCACCGGGGAGGAGAGATCAAGAGACTTAGCAGCCTACTGAGGTTAAACCACAACACCCGCTCAAGGTACAGCCTTTGATCCAGGAAGTGTCCATAACCCCAGCCACCAAGTTGGTGATTGCCTCAAGATTTGGTAACTACAGTATCCTATAGTTCATGCATGTGTAGCCAAATCCTCATTTAGAGCAATCTGGGGTGACCTCAGTTCTTGCAATTATGATTCTATGATTGCCCAAAAATGGTCCCTATAGCAACCCTACCCTCAAATCATAGGACGGTTCTAAACTGCATCAATAGAATAAACCTAAAGCTGGTCCTGACACATAGGTAACTATAATTTAACTGTAAACTCAGTCTTTTACGTTACTGTAAAGGTGACTCTTGGGGTTTTCTCAGCCTTTACTCATAGCTAAATCCCAGCTCAAATCCTGTGACAACCATGACCACAATCTCAATGCTATCCCTAAATTTCTTTCCTGGAGCAACTCTGTCCCTGACTTCTGGCCTTTGGAATACTGAACTGGGGGTTGCTGGATTGTCTGTGGCATGCACAGGGCTGGTGAAATAGATACTGGCATCTTCCAGGAATTGCCTTTGGCTTTTGGCCCACTTTCTTATTGGCTTATTACTGTAAAGGCCTCCCACGCTTCCCAACATGTTTGGCTAGCCAGTTGGCCCTCCTCCTGGGAGCAGAAATAAAAGGCTGCCATTCAAGGCAGTCCTGACAGACAGCTCAAGTTGCTTTGGCACTTCCTTGCTGTGGACTGCATTATGAGAAAGTCGATGCTCATCTTTGGCTTTCTTCTTGTCTTCCTCGGCCTGGCTTTGCCAGGCACCCAGGGAAAAGTCATCCCCCGATGTGAGTTGGTGAACATCCTACGTCGGCATGGCTTTGAGGGCTTCGAGGGCAAAACTGTAGCTGACTGTGAGTATAATGAGCTCCCATTGCACCTCTCTGCCTATACCACCCTTGTCCCTCTTAGCTTCTTTGTAATCTTCCAGCAGTACTATTCTGTCCCTCTGTTCCTTTGACTTCAGCATCTCTCTTTCTCTTCTTCTTCTTTGCCCCCTTCTATTGCTTAGACAATAAATACCCATCCAGAGCTTTATCCTTCCAAGCACTTATCCATCCATTTCTCAGACTTACGATATCTCCAGTTTAATTCCTTCTTCAGCTCTTCATTCACCCTTGATCTCTTAATCTCTTTCCTTTCATTTACCCTGAGCACATCTTGATGTTCGTTCTCTGGGCTCTCTCTTCCTTCTGCAGGGGTGTGCCTGGTGCAGCACGAGAGCAGTTACAACACTAGAGCCTATCATGACAACGGTTCAAGCAGGGATTACGGAATCTTTCAGATCAACAGCCAGTACTGGTGTGACGATGGCAAGACCCGTGGATCCAAGAATGCCTGCCACATCAGTTGCTTAAGTAAGTGGTGGGATAGAACAAATAGCCTTTGTTTGTCCACTCTCTGAAAGCACTAATCTATCCATGACATCTGCCTAGCAGCTGCTCTGGGCATGTCTCTCCATGTGTCCTTTTATTCATCCATCTCCTCAGTAATTCACCTACTCTTCCTGATGAGCACTCTTCCCTCTGCCCATCTAGACCTGCTCTCCCTCTACCCCTCTTTCCTCCATACTGACCTCTTCTCCCTTCTCTACAGAATTGCAAGATGATGATATCCAGAACGATATTCAGTGTGCCAAAAAGATTGCTGAAGAGGCTCATGGCCTCAGTCCCTGGTAAGGATATTTGCAGTGGGCTCTGGGGAAGGGTGGGCAGAGGAGAAAGAAAATTATGCAATTGACTGGGCAGGGGCATGGGGTGGGCAACGGGTGCGAAGCTGTATTTGGTGAAGTTCAGCACAGATCTTCTCCTAGAGCTGCAAGGAGAACTGAGGAGTCCTGGCTCCCAGCATCTGCTCTACCTCCCTAAATCTCCCTCCCCTCCCAGAGCTCTCCCTTTTTTTCCTTCCCCTTCCCCCACCTCCCTAGGCTGAGCCTAGCAGAATTTTCATTGTTTCATATCTTTCACATCCAGCTTTCTCCACCCAAGACTCTCAAAGACTAAGCAAGTTCAGTTTTACAACCAATTCAATCATCATCTAATATCTCAAATTACATCATGTGTTTCTTTTCTAGGTATGGCTGGAGAGACCATTGCGAGGGCAAAAACCTGCATTCCTATGTCGAGGGTTGCTAAATCACTCCACAAGCAGTAACTCTTTACTCAGGATCACCAATGGTGAAGAGTGAGGGTGCATGGAGTGGAGGCTAGAGAAAATGAATGGGTGGGGGGAATTAAAAGCAGCATATTATTCAGGCAGAAAGGGTGCTGTTTACACTATGAGGGCTTTGGGCTGCTGCAATGTAAGCAGAGAACTTGAAGGCTGATGGCTTAATAGAAAGAAAGCTTAGCAGGAGCGCATTACAGGTGGAGTTTCAGCCATTTACTTGCATAATCCTCTCTGAAGATTTTGTTGGCTTTCTAGCAGGGCTTACCGACATTTAGGGTTTCTCTCTCTTTTTGTCTCTTTCTCCTCCTTCATTCCTCTCTTTCTCCCATCCTCCTTCCTTCCCTCCCTTACCTTCTTTCATTCTTTTGTTTTATTACCTGAGTGTAGAAAATACATAAATTAATGACTGCTATGTTAGTTTTAAGACCTGCATAATTGCAGTTGCCTTGTAACTAGGACACAGTCGCTGACCGAGGTGGGTAGTACAGTTGGCTGAGAGAGAGAGACAACTGCTGAAACATGACCTTGCTCCTTAAATTTATCTGAGCATCTGCTCCTTACTGGTGTGAGAGATAGGGCACTGAAATGTATGGACATCTGGCCTGGCTGAATATGGCTTTTCTGATCATCCTTTGAGGTATCATATCAAACATAGTCTAGGAAAGATACAGGCAGCATCTCTGTGAGGAAATAACGGGTTGGAAAGCCAGTTAGGGCAGGGAAACTTTTTGCCATTTAGGTCACAAGTCCTTTTTCCTAACAAAGGCTGAATCCAGAAACAGTGCATAAATGGAAGGTGACAATACTGAAACGATGTTTGCTTCTTCATGTGCTTTGTTCTGCTGCTTGGGGAGCAGGGACAGCTTTTATGTTTACGCAATAAAGTGACGCTTTCACTCTTGTCTTAAGTGAATGTATAAACCAACAACAAAAGGCACTGTTTAGATGGCTGAATCTAAACAAACAAACAAAAAATGCTCGAAGTAGCCTTGCCAGAAGACCCTCTTCCCAGCTGCAGGGCAGACGGTGGCTCTTTCCCCTCCCATGACCCAGGAGACTTCATTCTCTCATTAACTCGAGGCAGAACTATTTTACGTGCTGGCGTCCATGAGATTTTTGAGAAAACTCAAAAAAACTTGAGTCAAAGCCTTACCTTGTCATTGTGTTCAGTGCAGGTACTTTCCATCTGTCTGGGAATTTGGACAAACCTCTGGGGTTTTGGCTTGTGGGTTCAAACCCTCGTAAAGGGATGTTTTCTGTCTACCTAAAAATTAAGCCCATGCATCTTCAAGGGACATGCTCATCTCCCAGGGACATACTCAACCAGAAACAATCAGGGGTTGTGGAAGTAAACTCTCTGCAAATGAAAACAAGTCCCTGCTGGAGGCTGCTGAGTCCTGCGGCAGCTCCATAACCCCAGGTCCAACCAGGAGCGAGGCTGAACCGGGGTTCCCAGCGGGCCCACACGTGAACACACTCCCACACACGGAGGCACAAGCACGTCTATATACACACATATGTACATACACGTGTATGACTGGCCACACAGAGTGAGATGTAAATACTCATCACTCATAAAAACACAAACAGCACCAGTGGCCTCATCCTGTTCACAGAATCACAGAATGGTCAGGGTCGGAAGGGACCTCTGGAGATCACCTAGTCCACTCCCCTGCCAAAGCAGGTTTGCCCAGAGCAGGTC